GTTTGCTAAGGTAGCAGTACTGTTTGCATGCCTTGTGCTTTTGCTTTTGCTGTGACTCGGACTCCTGGGGAAGATCTAAATGTCTTGAACCTCTGCAGCTTTATTGAATCTGTGCCCCAGTTCTTGCAGTCCCTGATGACAGTGCCTTCCCAGGTAGAGGAGAACTCAACTACAAGTTCACAGCACATGTACAGGCACTTTTATAAGCTGCTAGTCAGGTACAGCAATACAGAGCATTCAGTTTCCAGATAATGTTAGTACATCCTGATGTCTTCATACATTGGAAACAATGCTCTGAGCCAATCAGAAATACCAGTAACAATAGGATGGAAAATATTACCATTGAGCTTAATTGATATGTCAGCTCAGTCTCCTTGTAGTTTGGGTCAGCCTCTGTGTCTGTTTAAACATGCAGATGTGTCTGAGGAACCTTTCAGGAAAACTGGTTTGACAGCTACACTGCTAGTTGCTTGCCTGTGTTGGACTAGATGGTTAAATGTTCCATTCAGAAACAAATGAATGTCTTTGTCTCAGCTGATGGGAACACCAGTATTTCCCTGCTGATTTGCAGGGAAATTTCCCACCAGTGTTTGCCTACAGCAATTCCTCAGTTCAGCTAAGAAGTCTATCTTCTTAAAGAAACGGCAACACTAAACAGTGACCTGGCTTGGAATTCGGCTGCTTTCAGAGAAAGGGACACAGGTTTGATTTTATAACACGAAGGCACATATAAGCAATCTTCTTCTAGCAGCATTTAATCTGGTTTTCCTCAACAGCTGCATGGTTCGGATCTTATCCTGCAGAGTTATTGGGACAATTTTGGATGGTCCTGCTGGCTGCCAGTGTTGGGAGTTGGAGTTAAACACATCTGAGAGTACCAGGTTTGGGAGGGCTGGGGTATATACTTTGGGGAACGTCTCTGAATTACCACGGACAAGGACCCCAGGAGGTGTTATGATATACATGTGCGCACAAACTGTGTGTGTGTGCGTGTGTGTGTGCGCACACACGTGTGTGTTTGCATGAGCATCCCTTGTGCCAACTTCCCAACTGTCAGAACCAAAGAGGATTGGCTAGCAGGAATACACACCTGTATTTCTTCTCAGTCAATCAACACATGCCTGGATAGGCTAGTCTTTCCTCCCTCTAACCCAAACATCAGCTGCATTAAAAGTGGGAAAAACATTGATTTAATTCTTAACATGGTATAACCTGGATCTCCTGTCTAGTTGTGGCAAGACTTGAAGTGCTCTGTCCCCGTCCAACCCAACAGATCTGGAGAAGTTTTGCCAGGAAGAAAGGGCAAATGCTTCAGGATCCTGATGCACAAATTTACTCTGGAAAACTTGCAAGTGTAACTTTTGCTTAAGGCACTTCTACCAAGCACTAATCAGTTTGCAAATACTTCTGCAAGCAACAAGTGCTAGTTTTGTTAATATGTGCCTGAGTCTCCTTATCAATGGCAGGAATGAACCCTTATACCCACAGGGAAGATTAAATTGCCTTGAACCCCAACTTTTCTATTGGTGAGATCACCCAAGCCCCCTGCAGTTGCAACAGCATGCTACTGGGTAGTGGTCTTCACAGCCAACTACAAGCTTTTAAAACATAGAGTGTTTTATAGATTCTGAGTCACTTGACAGCAGCTGATCAGGTGGAGACAAAATAAGGGAACACAGTGAAAAAGAATGTGAGAGATCTGCAGAGGGGACTTAATACAATAGTCTTGATTACAAGAGATTCACATAAGGATCACTGAGGCATAAACCTGACGTTTTCTTATTAGGCATTGTACCTGATGATGTTGATAATCAAGCAATGTATTTGATTCTACATGTAATTACTGCGGTGAGGAGTGCATTTGCCCAACATTGGAGGAGTGAAGAACCACCTACCAACGAACTGATTTTTAAAAAGGTCTTGGACTGTGCTGAAATGGACAGATTGACTTTGTCTCTGAAGGAGAAAGAGGATACATACTTCTATCAAACTTGGAATTCTTTTTATTATTGGCTAGAGAAACGGGACTATGCATAGATTTAAATATATTTATGGATTACAATAAAAAAAAGTACAGGGGGCTGACCCAGTAGGTCTGATGTTTCTGATGATTGATGGTTTTTAGTTTCTTTTTGTTAGTGTGTAGAAAAAGAATAATAAAACTTAAAAAAAAAAAGGATCACTGAGGCACAGGGATTATTGTGGGTCTTGGCATGCAAATGAGGGCAATTGCAATACTGCTAGAAAAACTTGTCTGGTACCTTATCAGTTTTGATAGCTGTTAGCCAAGAATAGCCTTGGGAGCCCCATTCCCCAGCAAAGGCTTTTCCCACCAAAGGTAGTAGCCTTCTCTTAAAGGAACAGCTTTGAAAATAACAGTAAACAGAAGCTTGCATCAGAATTCTGGTACTTCCTGAGAAAGAGGTGGAGAGATGTTGCAGACTTGATTTTATAACACAAAGGAACATATAAGCAACCTCTTTCTACCAGGTTTTATCTGAATTTCCCCAGTGCCACAATGAATATCTTGGATACATCAAGTGCTGACAATGTCAGTTAAATCCATTTCAAATTCAGGCTGGAAAGCAGCAAAATGTGGAAAAGTCCAAGGGGGGGTGTGTGAGTGGATATTCTACAGGGACCAGCTGCCATAATTCCCAGCCAATATGGGAAATGGAGTGATAATGCAACATGGGCATTGTGGAGATAGTACCGACTCTGATATACTAGCAATCTAACGCTGCATGAAGCATCTTTGCTTAAAAGCACATGCTTGAAAATGCAGATTTATGCAGTGGCGAGGTCTGGACTGGCTGGATCTGTCTCTACCTTGCTGAGCTTGCAGAGGGTGCCGATGGTGAGATGCAGCTGCCAACCTGTCTCTCAATTGTGGTCCGTAGCTACTTTGCCCTGGGAAGCTTCTTTGGATGCTGCTATTATTATTAATACAATTTATGTGCTGCTTCCTACCACAAAAAGCAGACTCAGTGGCTCAGGCACTGAAATACAGAAATCCACAATTACTTTAGCAGACCCCACCCTGCCCAAATCAACATGATGTGTAGTCCAGCACAGCAGTAAAGATAAAAATGAATATTGTGGAAATGCGCTAAAAATAATACAGCCCTAAAGGCATTTGTCTACAAGATGGGAAATCTCTCCCTCCCTGTACATGGAGCCAGGGCTGAAATCTTTCCCTTGACTTTGTATGGCCAGCGGTCTCTAGGGCTTAGGGACCTTCAGTCCATGATCTAGTAGAGATCTGGGCTGAGCTGGCCAAGATCAAGAAATTGAGTCATGAGGATTGCTCATGGAGCTAACACGCCCTGGGCTGTTTCTTTCCCTTTCTTGGACGGCATGAAAGGTAGCGGCGGAAAAGGGCAGGAGTTGCTTTGGTTGGCATGGCAGAAGTACTCGAGCGTGTTGAGATGGTTGGCCATCACCTCCTGGTTTAAGCCATATTTCAGACTGAATTGCTAATGTTGGGAAAATTCAGATGAATCCTGGCAGAAAAGGTTGCTTATATGTGCTTTTGTATTACAAAAACACCTGCACTACTTTCTCAGAAAGCAGCAGAATTCCAAGCCAGGTTGCTGTTTAGTATTGCCGTTACTTAGAGACAGGTACTCACTGGAGGCAATGCTACATTCAGTAGTAAAGTTCACTGCATGGAGGCTTTTGTGCTGCCAAATCTACAAGCAGCAGCACCCTGGCCTGATTAATTCACATGCAAACTGATAGCCAAGGCCAGCAATGACTCAGGATCCACATTACAATCTCCTGTAATGAAACACTATTGTATTATGTCTTCTCTGACATTCTTTTCACTGTATTCCCCTTCATCATCACCTGAACAGTTGCTATGCCATGTAACTCAGAAACTATAAATCATTCTGTATATGTTTTGGAAGCTTGTAGTTGCTCTGGTCTCTACCCAACAGCGCTGTTGTAATATGGTTTCTCTGCAGAGGGTGCCTAAGTGATATTTCAATAAAACGGGTAAGGGTCAAAGTGAAAGGGGTCTTTCCTTACTGAACCTGGGGATCCTGTCTCATGGCTGCTATTGAGGCATCCCAACACTCATTAAGTTCAGATGACTTGCCACATGTTGCAAAACCTGCTAAAAAGAGTTCCATGAATTGATTTGATTATTTAAAATGCATCTGCAGACTTCCAGCCATTTGGCTTTTCTAATGATTTAAGAATCATTGAGGATTAAAACTTAAGGAGGAATTGAAAGAATGTGAAAATAGCTCTCACGCTTGCAAACATGCAAGTCTGGGGCGGAAGGGGAAGGGTACCAGATGGACCTTGCCCCTTAAGGGAATTAAGATGAAAAATGGTCCTCTCTCCCACTTGTACTCTGGTCCTGCCACCCCCATTGCAGCTTTCAAACAGGAACAGGAAGTGAGGGTTGTGTTCTACTCTTCCTACTCCGTATAGTCGGGGTGCACATATGGGTAAAAGCCCTGCCATTTTTCCCAGCTGGCTGGGAAATGCTAAGGATTTAAGGACCTGTTCTGTCTACACATGAGTAGAATTGCACCTTTAGTCGCTTCCTAGATAGCCACCTCTGAGTGCTGCTGCTTGCGTGTATTATACTTTAGCAATATGATTGACCAGAGCTCTGGGAAGATGGATGGCTGAATGCTAATTATTTGCCCTCTTCAATGGATCTGTAACTTTTTAATAAACTGATTGTATCATTTCCCCAATAGTCAAAACACTTTTCTTTTAGAACAAGGGTGTCCGTCCATCCTTTTTTAAAAATTTATTACATTTCTGTACCATCTAATACTCAAAGTTCTCTGGGTGAGTCAAAGGTGGATCAAACATAATATAAAACTTTAACATTCAAGAATGTAAAACAGTTTAAAAACAAAAAAGCAATTATTAGTGTAGTTACCTGATGATAAACTGAATGCCCCAGCATGTGCTGCTATATACCTGGGAGCAGAGGAAGGTCTTTACCTGGTGCCAGGGAGATGACAGTCCTGAAGACAGGTGAATCATACTGGGGAATCTGTTCCACAGTTGGGGTCACCACCAAGAAGGCCTTCTCCCACACTGCCATTGCGCTTTGATCCCGGCCAATCATATTGTTCAAGAATAATGAATAAAGAATAATAAACCTTACTCAGAAGAGGCATTTGAAAGAGGTGCCTTCGATGTTTGTAATGTATGGGTGGGTTCATACAGGGAGGGGCACTTCATCAGAAATTGTGCTCCTGAATCACTTGATGCTTTCCAAGTCTGTACCAGGATGTTGGACCACTTGAGGACCAAACTGAATTTTGTAGATGTTCTTGGGGCAGCGTTCCCATGCTGGGCAGCAACAAAGGCAAAAGTGGCAAGACCAAAGTATTAAAAAGACCGACATGTTTTAGTTTGCAGCTCTTATGACCAGGAACCAAACCCTGAGTGCTGCATTTCAACCTTTTAGGATGGTGAAAAAATGTTACTTTCAGCAAAGCACCGATTCACTGCTGGTTGGGGAAGAGTGAGGGCCAACTGCAGAATGGCAGGAAGCCACCAGTCCACTGGTCCTCAAGGAAAACTGGGCCAAAGAAAGTCATGGTGATCTGGGCAACCCCCAAGAGTTGGATTCAACCTCCAGGTAGGCCAAATTTGGGCAGAAGGCCCGAAGTCCAACACGCCTTTTTTTAGAAACTCAACAAGGCGCTCCTTCAGATTCAGATCCCCTAAAACTGGGGTGACATTTTTGCTGCACAAGAGCAAAAGAGTGTATTTCTTGTTTCAGGTGCTGAGGAAGCTCCTGACTGCCGCTCAACACCTTGCATTTTAGACTGGCCACCTTGAGAGCTGGACGGAGAAGTCATGCAGGAGAGCTCCGAAGCTGATGTTTCTTTAGGTATGACTTTGGGCACAGTAGCTGGAAACACCATCCCAGAGCAGGCAAACAGGTGGCTGTCCCTAAAACTCAGTCCTGAAAAGAAGGCTTGGAAGAGGGTGGGGGTGATTTCTGTTACAGGTAAGTCCAGGCCATGGCGGCAGACAGGATGAAAGGGCAGACCAACATCTGCATCCTTTCCAGATGTTTTGAACTTTCCTCAGCCCTGGCCAGCGTGGCTGATGTGACTTGTTTAACACCTGCAGCTCACTGTGCTGGAAAATCTGGGGTACTGGATCTGGTAAATGCTTTGGAAAAAGGATTGATTCTGCAAACCAGGATGTAGAGCTCTGGTGCCCATTTTCGAGAAGGGGATGGTGGAGCAGGCTGTCAGCAATCAAGGCCAACTGGCACAAGGACTTGCCACACACGGAGAAAGATAGATGGTTGCCAGAGCTCCATGGTTTTGAACTTGCTGGCATCAGGCAGTGTTTTCCGTGTGGATTTTTCTGTTGGTGCCCCCAAGAATCATAGACTCATACAGCAGGAAGGGCCATCAGATGGAAGCAGGCCGTCAAGTCCAAGCACCTGCTCAGTCTAGGACTCAGGTCACCCATCCTGATTTCAACCTGCCCGACCCTGCTCAGCTTCCTGGATTAGGCAGGATTGGGCACTTCAAACAAAGCTCCTTGTTTGTTGCATGGAACATATCCTTGGTTCCCGTGTTGCTCTGGCCAAGCCTTTAAATTGAGAGTGCCCCAGTCTCCCAGACCTTGGCCCATCTTTGCTTGCAGCACGTATCCTGGGGGATACATGGTAACAGCGAGCCTTTCTGGGAAGCTTGTCCATCAGTATTGACTTCTGAGCTGAGGAACGTCAGGATTCCCTGGAGCATGGCTTGAAAGCTCCCAAGACGGCTCATGGCTGTGTCAGCCTTGATTGGTAAGGGGTTTTTAGAGTCTTGGGATCTTTCTGAGCCTTAGTTTAATCACTTGCTTTGAACTCTGTGTTCACAGATCAGCTGGAAAATGCTCCTGCTGCAGCCGTGTCGATGGAAGGCATCAGGGAGGCATGTGATCCTGAGGGTGCTGGAGCACTGGAGGAAGAAGAGACGATCCTGAGAGTCTCCCATGCAGGTGGGAAAAAAGAAACCGGGAGGATTCCTCTTGAATGAAGACTGAATTGGGGATGGAAAACATAGACTGCCCAAGCCGTCTGCCCCCCAAATTCAGTATAAGAGAAACTGGTGCCTGTAATGGTTATGGAGTATCAAAGGGGTCAAAATCAACTTGTTTGCAAGCTAAATCTGACCCTTTTAGTGCTCTGTAGTCATAAGGTGCTCCTACCGCCCCCCCCCCCACATTACCTTGCAAATGAGCTAATGTTGACCCATTTGGTGCTCTGTAGCTACTGCAGTTGCCATTTAAATTTATGTGTTTATGGTTTGGCACCTGCAGGGAGGGTATATATGGCCTGTGGGGTGCTCTCTCAGGAATAAAAAAAGGCCCTGATCACTCAGCATTGTCCCCCCGGGTTAGACAGTCCGTGTCTGTCTCGCATTTCATTCATTTCAGAATGAAAAGATTCACCCCTTCTCCTCTTTCATACTCATCACAGATCCCGTGCACCAATTTCTTTCCAAGGGTTAGGATCCTCCTTCCCTTTCCAACTCAGGTTATTTGACTCCACCTCCAGTGGATCTCCTTCCCCTGCTTTATTGAGTTCTAGATTAATGGCTCAGCATGTTGGAGCCTAGAAATTGCCATCTCTTTGTTCATATGGTGTAGGTGATGCTATTTAAGGTGGAACAAAGGGAAGATATGCATTGTCCCAATTATGAATTAATGCTTTAGTTGTTAAGAACATGCATAGACAGGTAGTCCCTGGGTTACGAAAGAGTTCTGTGAATGAGAAAATGGAAATTCATTTTTAAGTTGAATTTGTGTGTAAGTGTGATTATGTACACTTGACCTTCCACATTCACAGGGGTTAGGAGTGCAGAACCCCTGTGAAAGTGGGAAAGGGTGAGTATTTCTAGCCTCCACCACCCACCCAAACTCACCAGCACCCCCTTTGCAGCAAGGAAGTGCCAGAGAGATTTCCTTTCCAGATGGCTGGGGTAGGAAGACATGTTTTGGAGGCCTCCCTCCCTCCCCTTTCACTTCCTCCCTCTCTATGGTGATGCTTCGGCAGCCCTCCCTCCCTCCTATTTCGCTTCCTCCCTCTCTATGGTGGTGCTTCGGAATGCATCCCTCCCTCTCCTTTCGCTTCTTCCCTCTCTATGGTGATGCTTCGGAGGCCCTCCCTCTCTCCCCTTTTGCTTCCTCTCTCTCTATGGTGATATTGATTTTCTGCAGTAATTTAAAAAAATTAATAGGCTTAATAGCAGTTCGTTCAAAAGTATGGGCTGTTCATAATTTGAGCATTTGTAACTCAGGGGTTTTCTGTACTGCAAAAAATTAAGATAGTGTACAACAATTTGAAATAATAAAAGCTAAATGAAAGCAAGAATTAAAACAGTAAAAAGAATACTTTAAAACCCCATATTTTAAAAAATAAACAATACTGCCCTATATGTATGTACTCTGCAGTAACTACTGGTAAATGTGGCTTCCTTCCAAGGGAGTGTGCATAAGATCACAGCCAAAATTAAAAAGGTGGACATTTGCACCCTTTCTCTAGGCCAAGGGGCGGGGGGGGGGCAGTGACACACCGCCATTATGTCCTGCAGTCAATTCAGGTTGTTCCGACGTGGATGGATGCATTGCCTGACTGTAAGGCAGCATTATATTTTTAGGGAAATCCTCACCTCATCTGACACTTGAGCAGGGATGGAAAACAAGGATTTGTTTTGTTTTGTTTTGTTTTGTTTTGTTTTGTTTTGGACTGGATTCCTTTCCAAATATTTGCACCATCTGGGCCTGAAAAAGGAAGCATCTCTGTGGGTTAGGCACTTTGAGAACGTTCCTTTTCTGCTGTTTTTCTGATCGCTTGCTTCTTTTGCCAGGTGTGGGAAAGAAAGCCAAGCTCATGAAGGAGGAGGAGGAGGGCGCCTTCAGCATCGAACAGCGAAGCCTCGTTGGGGAGAGCCTGACCACAGCTGCCGTGGGGCCCCCACCCCGCGGGAAGGGGGAGAGACTTTACCCCTGCGGCGAATGTGGGAAGGCGTTCAGCCAGTGGTCCAAACTGGTGCGGCACCGGCGCATCCACACGGGGGAGCGCCCCAACACGTGCACGGACTGTGGCAAGTCCTTCACGCAGAGCTCCCACCTGGTGCAGCACCGCCGGACGCACACGGGCGAGAAGCCCTACGTCTGTGGCGACTGCGGCAAGGCCTTCTCCTGGAGCTCCAACCTGGCGCAGCACCAGCGCATCCACACGGGCGAGAAGCCCTACGTCTGCCGGGAATGCGGCAAGGCCTTCTCCCAGAGCACCAACCTCATCAAGCACCAGCGCAGCCACACGGGCGAGAAGCCCTACCGCTGCCCCGAGTGCCCCAAGAGCTTCTACCGCTCCTCGGACCTCATCCAGCACCAGATCACGCACACGGGCGAGCGGCCCTTCAAGTGCGAGGAGTGCGGCAAGGGCTTCACCCAGACCGCCAACCTGGTCAAGCACCGGAAGATCCACGCAGGCGAGAAGCCCTTCCGCTGCAGCGACTGCGGCAAGACCTTCATCCAGAGCTCCGAGCTCATCCAGCACCAGCGCACCCACTCGGGTGAGAAGCCCTACCAGTGCCAGGAGTGCGGCAAGCGCTTCGGCCACGGCGCCACCCTGGTCAAGCACCAGCGGCTGCACATGGGCGTGGAGCCCTACCGCTGCGCCGACTGCGGCAAGACCTTCGGCCTCAGCTCAGCGCTGGAGCGCCACCGGCGGTGCCACAGCGAGAGTCGCCCCTACGCCTGCGCCGAGTGCGGCCAGAGCTTCTCATTGGCCTCCAACCTCACTCTGCACTCGCGCATCCACCGGGGCGAGAAGCCCTACCGCTGCGCCGACTGCGGCAAGTGCTTCGGCATGAGCTCCACCCTCATCCGCCACCAGCGCATCCACACGGGCGAGAAGCCGTACGCCTGCCTGGACTGCGGCAAGGCCTTCGTCCGCAGCTCGCACCTCACCCAGCACCGCCGGACGCACACGGGCGAGCGGCCCTACCACTGCGAGGAGTGCGGCCGGCGCTTCTCCCAGAGCTCCAACCTCATCACCCACCAGCGCATCCACATGGAGGAGCGTCCCCACGTCTGCCACGACTGCGGGCGGCGCTTCGCCCTGGAGGAGGAGCTGCAGCACCACTGGCGGGAGGAGGGTGGGAAGTGCAGCCGCAAAGCGGAGGCGGGCGAGCTGGAGGCCCACGTTTCCTGCATGGCTGACGCGGGCAGGGAGAGCTATGCGGACGGGCATGGGTCTCCCCCGTGCCAGGGGAGGCGAGTGCTGTGCGCGGCACGTGGACTGGATTGCACAGAAGCGGGGGCTCTGGGGGAGCGCCGGAAGAGCCACGGCGCCCACCTGTGTGTCGTCTGCGGGCAGGGCTTCCAGGACGGAGCGGCGCTGGCGCGGCACCGAGAGAGCCATACGTCCTACATCTGCACTGAGTGCGGGAGGAGCTTCGGGGATGCCGACACCTTGGCTTGCCACCAGCTCAGCCACGAGTCTTGGATCTGTGGCATCTGTGGGCAGAACTGCAAAGACAGCCTGGCCCTGGCGCAGCATGAGCGAACCCACGCGCAGCACCTTCGTGGCACGTTCGGGGAGAGTTCTGTTGACGGCAAGGTGCTTGTTCTGCGCAAGGAGGGTCAGACAGGCAAGGAGAACCCAAAGCGTATCTTTGTCCGGGAATCCTCCAAGGCCGTTGCATGCATTGATTCCAGTGAGGGCTTTGTGGTCGAGACAGTCCTCATCCCGCAACAGGAATCGCAAGCGACATGGGCCTTCCTAGAACGTGGAGACCCACGCAAGGACAGTCTGGTGCTGGCGAGTCCCCAGCTGGGCCACAAGAGACTTTGCGCCTGCCCCGAATGCAGGCAGGCTGTTGCTGACGGCTCGGTCCTTGGACGCCACCCCAGCACCTGCATGCAGGAAAACCCCGAGAAATGCCCGGAGTGCAAGCAAGACTTTGGCGGCGTCTCCGCTCTCGCTCGGCATCAGAGGGAATGCGTCTGTGGGAAGCTGTGCCGATGCGCAACATGTGGTCGGGCCTTTGCAGATGGCACGGCCCTGGTGCTTCACCAGAACAGCCATGCGGACGACAAAGCATGCTCATGTCTGGAATCAGACGAAGATTTCCATGACTCGGATCTTGCGCTGCATCGGGGGAATCACAGGCCTCCGGACACCTGTCTTACAGCACCCCAGAAATCCTCCCTGAGAGACGAGGCCGCTGATGAAAACTCTGTTTCTAGCTCCCATCAGGGGCATTGTCCACGCAGGCGTAGCTTGGGCCTTCTGGCACAGCGGGGAATTCACTCCAAAGACAAAACTCTGGGCAGCACACATCTGAGAATCCCCGCTGAAGAAGCCTCTCCGTGTGGGCTGCTGCCAGACAGTTCGGCTCTCGTCTCGCCACAGCCAGTCCACCTCGAAGAGGATCCTGGAAGGGCGGCTGCGGATCTGCCCCAGAAAAGAGCTGCTGTGATGGACAAGTCTGCACCCGTTTCCACGGAAATGGCCGCCCTCATCCGGCACCCAAGCACCAAGCCCTACAAATGCCACGACTGCAAGCAGAGCTTTGCAGATGCTGCCAGCCTGGCCCGCCACCAGACCGGTCACACGAAGAAACGGCCGCTGAAGTGCCCCGAGTGTGGGAGCAGCTTCTCAGAGAGACTGGCCCTGATCCAGCACCAGACCGAGCATGCAACCGAGAAGAGCAGGAGCGCGCGGCCACTGCAGCCCCCCAAAAACAATCACAGCAAGGACAGGGACCCTAAGTCTTCTCTGGAGTTTGGGGAGAGTTTCACGGAGATCTCAGCCATCCTTCTGCAGAGGGGAAATCATGTGTCAGAAAGGGGCACGTCGCAGTGGCCAAAGGACCACAGGGCGGATGGGAAGCGCAGTTCCGGCAACGCGCTGGAGACCGCAGAGCCGTTCTTTCACCTTGACTTGAGGAAAACCCCTGGCGCCGGCAGTGTGTTGGTACAGCAGGATAGGGGCAGGTACTTTGGGCATTCTGAGCCAGCCAAGGTGGCTAAGAACAGCTCCATTTTGCTGCAACACCTCCAGAATCATAAGGTGGAAAAACCGTGACAGAATGTGCATTGTGGGACAGCTCAAATCCAGACCGGCAGCGGGGGCAAGGCTTCAGCCTCCTGCCGCTTCTCCCACCCAGTGCTCAGGGCAATAAATTGGAAGGGTGAGGCCAGCATCATCGGGGCCTTTAGGTGCGCCAAGGGTAGGAGAGGATCCCTAGACAGAGGGAAGATAATTACCGATGTTATTATTAAGGTAGAGTGTGTGCGGCTGGACAGAACTGAAGCAGAATGTGTACTGTAGCGAACGATGCAGGATTAGAATCCCCACTTTCTTTACCAGCAAAACACAGGGTGACTCCACCTGTCCAGGTTTCCTTTTCTTGCTCATTTCTTCCTGCTTTTCTTTGCCCATGTTCCTCTCTGCCTCCTCGAGTCCAACCCATCCCTTGAGGAAGCCTCCAAATCCCAGTCTCTATAGTGTGGGATGAACAAGAACTGACTGCAGGTAGCCATTCAGAGAGCATCGTTCAAGCGAGTTTGACAGGGACTGTGCAGGTTTGTGTCGGGGTGTCTGGAGGACAGGGAAGTCTTCCAAATTCCAGGTCTCCCTTGACCTGCAAAGTTCTTGCAGATTTAGCTGGAAAAACACCCTCCTGCAACTGCTGAGCAGTCACTGTGTATTGAGTGGCATTTCTTGTCGTCTCCTGTTCTGACCGTACTGGGTAGAACAGTTTTAAGAGCTTAAATGTGATCTTACTCCCTTTTTCCTGTGGCGCAGTTCTGTTGATGCTTAGCTCCCAGCAGGTGGCATCGGTAAGCTACAATAATCTCCATGCCTCCCGCTTGGAGACATGTGGATTTTGTTAGATCTGTTCTGTTTATCCCAGGTGTCTTTAGTTTTGTGGTTGCTGATGGGCGGAGTTGGATTTTTTGTATGAGAATTCCTTTGGTGTATGAATGGCCACTTGTGTGTGCACTAGCACAAAACCACCCTTTTTAAAGTTATGCAATTCAGAGGAATCCATGTGACTCAGAAAAGGGGGACGTGCTGTGAGTCCACAGTTGAGGTTCACAGAAATCGAATCTCATTTGAATCGCTTGCAGATTTCTCTGTTTCTACTCCTTAGATTTCTGTGACATGGAAGAAAATGGCAGGAGCAAAGAGAAATCTAGAAAGTGAAATTGGGAGGCAGCTCCCCATGGATTATTTAATCCAAGCCTGGGTGGAATTTGACCTACTACATGATTGTTGTAGAATTCTGAGAATTCTGATTTCCTTTTTAAAATGGGATGTTGATCGCTCTCATAATTGCAGATATGAGTTGACACTACAAGAAATTACCAAGTTGGCTTGGCACATATAATAGGAGAACGTTGTGGGTGTCTCCATCCTTCCCCTGCATGAATGGCTTGTGATTATCCTGTGGAACTCACAGTCACAAGGATTTGAGACCAGCAGTAGGAATTCTAGAAAGACTGTATAGCCCAGACCTATTCATTCTTGCAAGGCATCTAGGGTAAATTACCTTTGCCCTGTTTTACTGAAATAGGAACATGGGAAAAGAGAGGGTTTCATCCAGGATCACTTGTTGACCTGCATTTGGGATCTCGCACTGCTCTCTAGAGATTGGAGCACAAACTACTTGGTGATGTCGCCTTTCCGCTTTTAGGGAAAGGTAGTTGTATGGAAGAGCTTCTGGGTCATATTTTAGAGGTCTTGGGGGCATCCTTCAAAAGAAGGATGCCCTCTCTTGCGGTTTTCTCTGTAGCAGCTAGGTCTGTTTACTAATGGGAATGAATTTGGGGATGGATGGCGGTGACATAAGCTCCTGGGTTCCCAAGCTCTTCTGACCTCACATTCCCATTGGCGCACCTTGTCCATCTTGAGATCTGCTCATTAAAACTAATTGCTTATTGGAAGTGTGCATGTGAAAAGCAAAAGAAAGAAGCAGGGAAGGGGGAGAAATAGAACCTTCTTGACATCTTCTGGGTGATTTTCATACTCGTCATGGTCTCTCTGGCTCCTTCCTGTCTTTTTTGTTCCTTGTCTTCCTCATCCTGGCACAGTGCCCAATCCTGATATCATTTTAGGTCAAGCAGCCATCCAGTGCCAATGCCCTACCTCACCAGTCCCAGGTTGGACCATGACAAGCACTTTGCACAGAGAAAGTGCCCCAAGGAAGAGAAGGGAAAAAATTCTTCCCTTCCATTTGCCTGTGGAACCGTCCTGACACACGAGATCCACAGCAATCGGCTCTTGTCCCATTTTAAATATTCTTCATGGCTGTGAAACCTTTTCATAGGCTTCTTCTCCTACATTCAATTTAATTGTTTAATTGATTAAATGTAATTTAATTAAAACATTTCTATGCTGTCCTATGCAAGGAGCCTCAGGATGGCTACAAAGATAAAATAACAGTAATAAAATACCAATTACAATCAACAGTAATACAAAACTACAATTCATAGCTGTGTCCGCTTGTTCGTCAACTCAGAGACGTCGGATCCTTTCAGTTCTCATTTCTTCACAAATTAAAATTTAAAAATTTAAAAATAAATTAAACATGATTTTTATGGACGTCTCCCATTGTAGAAAAGCTTTGATTTCAAATGCTTTTCTGGTGCTGGCATCTACCTCACTAGTTCAGCTCTGCTGTACCCTGTTTCCTGGAGAAAGCAGAGGAATTGGCTGCTTGCCTCTGTTGAAGCTGGTCAGCGGAACTCCTCGCCACATGATCTCCATGTTAAGACCGGGAAATTCGGAGGGTGTCCAAAACTAGCAAGGGTGTGGGCCTGAAAACCAGCTGCTTTTGACAGAGCCAGTTTGCACGTTCTGCCACCAAGAGAGCAAAAATCCCCTGAAAAATTCGGCCACAGCAAGAATTGACCAATTTTCCGCACCCTCCAGCACTCCGTACATTTGTGTCAGACTCGTGCAGATTCCTGCCTGCTTTGCAGCTGCAGAGAGAAGCTGGAGGGAATCCACATAACTATAAGAAGAACAGAGACGTAGGAGCAGCTTTGTCACATTCTTCTTGCTTCTTCTAAAACAGGGTCGGGAAGTATCTGTCCTGCAGAGTTACCTTCCCAGGCCTTGCCCCTCTTCCAGCACTAGAGAAAACCAGCCTCTCTCTAGCCCTGGGAGACAAAATCCTTGCTCTTATCTCCAATCACTGATAACTGGTTGGAGGTAAGAGAGATTCCCAAGGGTTGAGAAAGGCTGGGAGAGGAGACACCTGCAGTTATCTTGAGCCAGGGATGGGAGAGGGATTTTCTGTTCTTGGTGGGGAGAGTGGGGCAGAGCAATCCCTTTCTGCCCCCATGGAGAAGGGCACCCCAATGATGTCAGAGGATGGGGCTTCAGGAGGGAGAGGCCCATCCCCTGATGTTACCCAGCTCCTGGTGGGAAGAGGCTTCCCTCCCCTAGACTCTATCAGTTCACCCATATCCAGATGTGATCTCGGCTGAACTGTGGATGTTATCAGCTGCTGGCGGAAAACTGAAGCTGGGCAGCCTCAGGCTGGTATGTGGCTGCAACGGACCAACACAGCTGTACAGGCAAACTCATCATCTGCTGCCTAGAGATGCCATGGGTGAGATAGGCAGCATATCAGTGTTTTAAATAAACAACTAAATGAATAAATCTGACACAGCTGGTGAAGGCGGCAGAATGTGTGTGGCAGGAATCCCAGAATGCTTTGTGGCGTCAAGAGGAGCGGCCCTGCTTGAGATGCCCAAGGACCCTCAGCCGCCCTTGGCTTGGATGAGAGACCCCTGGAAGCTTTTCACACTTAGCCTTATTGAAGCTGAACAAAGAAGCAGAAATTGAATTCGTATAAGAGATAGATGGATTTGATCAAACCCGTTCCATCTGTGTTTTGTGGATCAACCTTTGTTGGATTTTTTACAACCAGAATGTTGTTCTATGTGCAAATCAGTGCTAATGTGCATTCACGAAGGCACATGAGAGTTTGGTGCAAGTGTGCATTGGCACTTGCAAGTAGCACACCCCAGTGTGAAAAATTGGCCTGCAATTCCATGGAAACTGCAGGATTCCGGAAAAGCCATTCTGCCATGGAATCTGCAAGTTGGATTCACAGAAATCTGAATTTGTTGGGATTTGCTGCAGAATTCTCTGATATCCCTAATAAACCATTTTTTCTGACATCCCTAATAAATGCTTTCCCTCATTTTTTCCCTTTCTTTCTCCCATGTCCCTTCAATAAGATGATCTGCAGGCCAACCCCCCCCTTTTTTTGGGGGGGGGATTCTTCTTTAATTTCTAACAGCAGAATCCTATACATTTTTACTGAGAAGTAGATCTCACTGCATTGGGTGGGTTTACTCTTAGGGAAGCATGCATAGGATGGCTGCCTTAAACATTCAGCATTTTAAACTCAGGGCTAACATTTCCCCAACACTGCCCCAGTCCTCAAGAATAGCAAAGTTCTGTAGCATCCAGATTAAAACTGTAGGAATCTCTTCACATATTTATGTCTGTGACTTGTTTTGGGAGGAGCTGGGATTATTGTGGTAGTTCGGATTCATTACCTCTTCCCTGTCCTCTGATCATTTCTGTTTGATGGATTCGGTGCTGCGGTTTGTTACCGAGTTCACTCTGTAATTCTAGGAATGTATCAAACCTAAGACTAATACAAACTCAGCACTGGTTTACTCAAATGGCTTTGTGTTGGTCTCATTATTATTCACGAACATCAATTAATCAAGAAGTCAAAGCAAGTCAGAAAGAAAAAAGCAGGGCTGTTGTTTTGAAGGTGCAAACCTACGCATATTAAGGCAAAAAAAAGTCCCATGTCTTTTAACAGTCTGGCTGGCAAATGCTGGTAGTTGTAGGCTTTCTTCTGTCTACCCACAGATTCCTCTGGATTGCTGCAAACTTTCTGCAAACCTCGCCCAAGTCCTTTCCCAGTGGAGCCAAGGGCAGTATGGAAAGGAATGGCTGACCCAGCCAGCACTTATTACATTTATACAGAAACATAGAAACAGTGAGTCAGAAGGGGTCTCTTGGGCCATCTAGTCTGACCCCTGGCTCCAGCTGCTTCCATTCAGGACATGCCTACCATATTCTCCCTTTTTTCTTTTTTTAAAGAACTCAAAGCAGCTGACTTAATTCTCTTCCCCCTGCTCTCAGTCCCATGCCCAAAACAACAACCCTATGAAGTAGGCCAGGCTGAGAGTCTGCAAGTGGGCCAAAGTCATGCAGCTGGCTCCATGGCTGAGGAGGGACTAGAACCCAGATCGCTGGAGTTCCAGCCCTGCACTCTTAACCACTACATTGCACTGGCTCTCAGCACTTACCCGTGCAGAAAGCAAAGTGAGCTTCTGTAACCATGTCCACGCACAGCCAGTTGTCCCTTAGCTCTAAAACCCTTTAGGAAAAACCAGGATGTTGCAGCCAGGTTGGCTGGGGTGTTGATGCCACTACCAAGGTGGTGCTGAAGAAAAGATACTGGTTTTTCTACAACTTGTGAATGCATTGAGCATTGTCTAAAGACTGAGCAACAATCACAAACAGTACTGCATATGACAATAACTCATTTTGTGTCTCTGCACAGGCCAAGTTCTCTTTTGGCCTCATTCCTCCTTTCTGCATAACATGGACTCCGGCTGCAATGCTATGAGTCCTAAATCCAGACAAACGCATCTAAAATAGAAGTAAACTCTTGAAACAGCAGCAATCAAATCTCATTGAGCATCCAGAGAAGCCCACTAGATAAAACTGAAAGTAGCAGTGATGGTGCCAGAGTGCCCCAAATTCTGGGTCCCACCAGGGAAAAGCTCCGTTCTCTGCATATAGCACTACCCCCCTCTTATTTTTGGACCAAGATGAGCCAAGGGCATCGATAGTGAGGGAACTGAGCCCCATGTCCTGGAAGTTCCCACCCTGATGAACCCAGGTGTATTTAAGGAAAGGGACTGGCTCTGAGCTGGTGCTAATCTGTGCATGCTCAAATACGCTCTGGCCCTAATTGCTTTGCATATACTTGGACTAGCACTGCAGGTGGATTTCAGGTGGACAGTAATCCTTGGTGAGTCTTGAACTTGGTAAGATAGAAGAGTAATAGAGTTGGAAGGGGCCTAGAAGGCCATCAAGTCCAACGCTCCATGTCCTATTGTACCTATTTGAGATGCACTTGTAGTTGGTCCATTTTGTTTCTCTCAATTGCCCTACAAGCTACTATTTAAAAAAAAAACAAACCATGTTGTCTTTAAAAGGCCTGCATGCCCTTACTTTTCTCTCCCTCCGCCTTCAACTTTTCACTTGCTGTGAACCTGATGGAGAGACATGGTCTGGGAAATACACTCAGCCGCTTCTTGGATTATGGCTCTGCTCTTGCAAAGAGATCAAAACAGTCAGTCCTAAAGGAAATCAACCCTGACTGTTCTTTAGAAGGTCAGGTACTAAAGCTGAAGCTCAAATATTTTGGCTACCTAATGAGAAGGAGGTTGAGGTGGCTGGAAGGGGCCACTGGAGAGGTGGTGTGGGGCTGGGTGTACGCCCGGGGATGGTGGAGGATAGGAGATCCTGGAGGAATGTTTTCCGTGGGGTCGCGAAGAATCAAGCACGACTTTGTGACTGAGCAACAGCCACAAGCTCTGCTCTGGCATGGCTTTGGGCAGTTCAGATCGTTACTGTGCATGCAATCAGATTGCTCACTTGCATCTCCAGCTTAACTGGACATCAGCCTTCCTTCCCTTAACTGGACATACCCCTTCGAATCAGAACTGGCAAGCGAGCTGAGCTGGTCGAGCTGGCCAGGGAGTTGGCGGAGCCGAGTTCAAATCCCGCCTCAGCTAGAAAAGTTGCTGAGCAAGCTTCACTCTGCATCCACCGTCTCCAAAGCCTGTTTCTGTGAGGATAAAAGGAGGAGAAAGTCGACTCCCGAGGCAGGAGGGGACAAAAGCCCACGGCAGAAATACAACGCGTCCTGCTTTTTTCAGAGGAAAGGTTTAAAAGAAAACTACACCTCCCGGCGTGCTCTCTGGCATTGTATTTCCCAAGCTTCCTTGCAAAGGAAACCCGACTCCAAAGAAAAGCCTGGTTGAATCTATCTTCCTTTGCACGGGGATAATGTAGGAGTTGTTACTTTCTTTTGCTTCCTTTTCCAAAAATTCTTCGCTGCGTTTATTCCAGAAGATGGGATGGACCTGAATCCTAGCGGGTAAGCTCTGTCGTGGGAATCCGCCAACGGAGGGCATCAAAGGGGTCCATCTGCGTTGTTCATACGGAGGGGGTGTTAAATCGTGGGATTGCTGAATTGCTTTGGGCCGCCTGCAACTTAAAGCGGGATAGGGGTGTTTTAAGGCACTTAAAAGACAGGGTGGTGTAGTGATGAGAGTCTGAGACCGGGGTTGGCTTCTCTGCTAGGCCGTGACGCTCGCTGGGGGACTTTGGGACAGTTCCTGTCTCTCCTCTCAGCCTACCTCACAAGGTTGTTGTGAGGATGGAATGGCTAGGAGAAGAACCATATAAGCTGTCTTGGTTCCTTGCAGGAAAAAAGGCAAGATATTATGTAAGTCGTGATGTTATTATCACAAATAATGATAATAGATCAAACATAGAAACGAAAAAGACCAAATTAAATTAATATTGTATCTGATTGCATTCCTGTTCATGAATATATCTACATTAAAAAAGAAGAATCCATATGATTGTAATGGCGATAACTTGACCTCTAATATATGTTAGGAAGGAAGGAATTCATTCTGGTTTCACTTGAGTGTCCTTGCAGGAATGACCAGATGGCTGCCAAAAATCAAATCAAATCAAATCAAATCAAATCAAATCAAATCAAATCAAATCATAGAATCATAGAATAGTAGAATTGGACGGGGCCATGAAGGCCATTGAGTTCACCCCCCTGCTGTTGTAGGACATCAAGTTACACCATCCCATTCAGATGGCTGTCCAGTTTCTTTTTGAATGTCTCTAGTGTGGGAGAGCCCACCACCTCTCCGGGCAGCTGGTTCCACTGAAAAATGGGAATGTCAGCTGGGAGTTTGTCTTCGTGCTGGATGTATTCTGCATTCCCTTTTTAAGGCAACATGGCCTTTGGCTTGTGCATTAGTGCCCTTCGCCTTTGCTCCAGAGTGCTCTGTGTGCGTGCACACGCGTGTGCATGCAGGCACGCTCAGGGTGGTGTGAGGCAAGCAAGCAGTCAGATGGGTTATTTGAGTTCAGCAAATTCTCTGTGTATGTGAACCTGGGAACAAAGGGAGATTTTAGCAGGGCTGCCAGGGAGAGAAGACAGACAGTGACTGCTAAACAGAACTAATTTGCCCTGACCTTCTGTACTGACGGATGCTGGGGGCAACTAACTCTGTGTGCAGATGCATTTGCCTTCCTGCCCTTTTGGTTGCTTCCCAGAAGCTTCTGGTTGATATCTGTTGAGATACGGTTGGCCTCGCCCTGCCTTCCTCCGATGCCCTCCAGATGCATCGGACTGCAGTGCCCATCATTCCCAGCCAGCTTGGCCAGGCTGGTCTTAAGCAGATCTGGTAGGCTTCTTTGTACATTCTTGTATAAAAGATTGAGAGATTCTGGCTATTTAAGAGCAGAAGATAGAGGGCTAAGAACTATTTGGAAATGGTGCCATAAGAACTTTAGGTTTCGTATACCTGTTTCCCCTGTCAGTGATGACCAAGGAGAAACATTCAAGGTTTCAGTGCCCTTTTATCCACCTCTGCTTAGAAGCAAATCACAGTAATTCCAACAGGAATTGGAAGTGGGTACGCAACTTAGTTTCCTTCTGACACATGGATATTTGTGGCCTCTTTGTGATATCAGTTTTATTTACTATTATGGCCATGCATTTTCCTGCATGAGGTTCTCCAAAGAAAACGACACCATCCAAATGGTGTTTCATCTTCAGCCAACTCATAGTTCTCTTTATTTATCTCTCTTTTTGCTTAAATTCAAACTGCAACTCTCCTTCCCTCTGGCTGCCCCTCCAAACTCCGATGGTGCTGCATCCCCTAAAAGCTGGGGCCATCACACAAGCCCCTTATGAGCCCTCAGCTTCATTTGGCAAAGCAAGAAGAGTAATAGGCCTCATTAGGATAGGAGAGCTGCTGAGTCAAGTCAGTGGTCCATCTAGGCCAATATCCATTTTCCTACTTTGTACAGCCTGATATTCCCTGGAAATCCACAACCAGCAGATCTCAAGGATCTCAGCATCTGATCTGGATGCATTTGCCCTAATCCATGGAGCAGGTTACTCACTTGTGAGGAAACCTCACTCTGCTCAGATACTTTCCAACCTACTCTTTCTTCATATGTTCCAGTACTATGCCCTGCTATTGGGTAGGAGACCTGTCTGTCTTCTTCAGTACTATGTATAACCCTTTCAACCTTTGTAAACAAAACAACACAACACAACCTAACCTTGTGTGTATGTTTTTAGAACTGCTGCTAATACCTTAGAGGTGAATAAGGAGAGCTAAGAGTTCAAAGCTTTGTATTAAAAGCTTCAGCTTCTTATCTAATATGCAATGCTACCTGTCAGAGAGCACTAGATAGCTGCTATCCTTGTAGGAATGGGCTAACCCAGCAATGGGCAGATTTCATGCTTCTGAAATCCACTAGGTTGGAGAAGACTGACCTAGTAGAATTAAGGAACAGGGTGCCTCTGAGCATGCAGCTTAGACCAAAAAAAATTATTTTCAGTACCAGCACTGAACTAGTAGCCCTTTCACTCAAAAAACAACTCTGGGTTCCTTCTGCCTGCCTTCAGAGCTTTCTTTATTTCAGCATCCTAATTTAGACAGGCCAGGAGACAAATCCTTTTGCTTTTGCTGCTGCAGTTAGACAACTGAAAGTCAGAAAACTTTCCAGTTCTTCTGCACATCAACCAGAGGTCTAACTGTGTTCTTATTCTTACTTTTGCCCATTCATGGGTTGACATACACAGAAACATCCTTCTCCTCTGTGCAGATATAATTTTTCATTTTCCATGTGTGTTCTCCTCCTCCTTATTTTGTTTTCTGCAGGGGCACTTTAGAATCTAACTGAGAATGAGGAGAACCATTTGTCCTGAGAAATGGATCACCAGCAGCAAATATTCCCAGGAGCTTTCTCTGTGGAAAAGCCCAGTTTGTCTAGAGCAGCTGCCTCCAAGGAGCTTCAAGACAGCGGGAGCAGAATGGCGTGGTCGGCGTGGCAATGCTTGGAGAGTCTTGTGCAACGGAGAGCAGAACCCAGTGGGGAGGAGACCTCGGACAGTAGCTCCGTGGTGGTGATTGAGGAGCAGAGTGACGTTGGATCTATGTCAGATGTAGAGGACATTAGGGAAATCTCTGTCGAAATGGAGGCCACCAAAAGGAAAAGCTCTTTGGGGGAAGAAACAGACCTACTTTCTTATCCAAAGGGTCCCCTGCCGGAGGTTGAGTTTGTGATGGAGGAAGCAGAGGAGAAGGCCTCCTGCCAAGGAGAAGACCCCAGTGAAGCTGGGCTGGTCCTGTGTCCCGAGGCGTCCCTGGCCAGGGCGGATTCTCTGGGGGAGGAATCCGAGGTCATCGGGTATGAGGAGGGATCCCCACTGGGGGCGGAGACTGAGATGGCCCTGGCGATGGGGGGTCCCAACGGGGAGGAAGTGGATGGAGCTGCTTACTGGGAAGCAGATGCCGTGGGAGAATCGGAGTCTTTTGTTTACCAGGGTGGTTCTCCCGCAAGAGGGGGATCCAGCGGGGAGGAGCCAGAAGAAATCCGTTCTCGGCAGAGCTCTCTCTCCGGGAACGGCTCTGATGAGGAGGCTGTCGGCAAGTGGGCAGCCGCCGGGATGGGCCTGGTCGCCAAGCCGCGCCCCCCCAAGCCGCGCCACATCTGTGGCGAATGCGGCCGCAGCCTGGCCAGCCACTCGGCCCTCGTCCGGCATTGCCTCATCCACACCGGGGAGCTCCCTTACGCTTGCACGGAGTGCGGGCGCCGCTTCCGGCAGTCCTCGGCCCTCGTCCGCCACCTTCGGGCCCATCGTGGAGAGCGTCCATACGTTTGCGGCGAGTGCGGCAAGGCTTTCGGCGTCCGGTCGGCCCTGGTCCGGCACCAGCGGGCCCTGCACTCGAGCGAGAGGCCCTATGTGTGTGGGGAGTGCGGCAAGGCCTACGCCGACCTGTCCATCCTGACCAAGCACCAGCTCATCCACGTCAACGGGCGGCCCTTTTCGTGCCCGGACTGCGGCCAGGCCTTCGGGCACCGCACCACGCTGACCCAGCACCGGCGCATCCACACGGAGGAGCGGCCCTACCGCTGCCTGGAGTGCGGGCAGACCTTCCGGCAGAACTCCGCCCTGGCCAACCACCGCCAGGTCCACTCGGGGAAGCGCCCCTTCTCGTGCCAGTACTGCAGCAAGGCCTTTGCCGGCCGGCCCACGCTTGTGCAGCATCTCCGCACCCACACGGGCGAAAAGCCGTACAGCTGCCCGGACTGTGGCCGCCAGTTCAGCACCAGCTCCAACCTGCTGCAGCACCGGCGGAGCCACCTGGGCGAGCGGCCCTTCGCCTGCTCCCTGTGCGGCCGGCGGTTCGCCCGGCGGCCCGACCTGGCCCGGCATTACGTGACCCACGCCGAGGGGAGCGTCCGGCCGCACCGCTGCGGCGAGTGTGGCCGGCGCTTCGTGGAGCCGGCCGAGCTGGAGCGGCACCGGGCCACGCACCGCGGGGAGCGGCCCTACGGGTGCAGCTTCTGCGGCAAGTCCTTCGCGGAGGCGGCCACGCTGGCCCGCCACCGCCGGTCGCACCTGCCCACGGCGCAGCAGGCCTACCGGTGCCAGGAGTGCGGGCAGAGCTTCGGGCAGAGCTCGGACCTGCTGGCCCACGGGCGGGTGCACAGCGGGGAGCGCCCCTACGCGTGTGCCGACTGCGGCAGGGCCTTTGGGCGCAGCTCCAACCTGGCGCGCCACCGGCGGGTGCACACCCAGGAGCGGCCGTACGTCTGCGGGGACTGCGGGAAGAGGTACACGCAGAGCACGCATCTCGTGGAGCACCGGCGGCAGCACATGGGCGAGCGGCCCTACGAGTGCGCCGACTGCGGGAGGTCGTTCGGCAAGAAGGGGCACCTGGACTCCCACCGGCGTGTGCATCGCCCCTTGCCCGTGTCCCCCGGCGAGGAGGGGGGGTCCCTGGCTGAGGAGGCCGACTTGGGCAGTTCGCAGGACGCATGAAGCACGCGGATGGGGAGCGGAGCGAGACCTAATCTGAGCGTGGCTCAGCCTCACAATTTCTTCTGAAAGGTTGTTTTGAGGCCGTGGATCAACTTTATCTGGATGTGTTGGGAAGAAGCTCCCTTCATGCTGGTTAGGAGTGATGGCAATTGCAGTCAGTACATCTGGAGGGCACCGGGTTGGGGAAGGCTGGCCTACAGGAGAGCAGTAAAGGGCACGGGAAAGCACCTTGTTGTGAGTGCCCCACTCCGGCCCACCGCAACTCCTGTGCATTTGGCATCAGAGGAGGAGGCACTCTGGCCAGAGGAGCAATGAGCAAAGAATCTGAATGTATCTTTAGCAATTGCACGGCAGAGTGTTTATCAAGCAAATGGGCATAGGATGGAAGATGGGAGTGTAAATTCCTTCCAGATCTCTTCCCTTTTTCCAGAACTGGATTTTAACCCCAACAATCTTGCACTCCTGGATCCTACTAGATACTTGACATAGTGAACTGTAAATTCAAATGAAGGAAGGTAGCCTCTCCGAGTCCGCTGCTCTCCTTTGTTTCTTCAACTTCTTTCTGCAGAGGCAGAGAGCAACTGATTTAGTTGTGAACCGGGTGTGATGGTGTCTTCAGTCACTGCTTTTTCAGATTTTAAATATTCTCTGCCTTTTATCCTTGGCTCAGAATCCCTCCAGAGGAACCAGACTGTGTGTCCTCAAGACTCCCTTCCTCTACCTTTTATCTCTTGGCTTGCTGTGGTTTGCATTGGTTCAGTAAATAATCTAAAAGGATCTCCTTGTTACACATTCAATAAGTGTCTGAGAATTTGTGTCTGTCATAAATGTAAGGGTTTTATTTTAAAAAGAAAGCCACAAGGACTTTAGAAGGAAACAGTTAAACTATAAAAATGTTTCCTCCTCTTGGCCCCATGGGAAATTTAGACATTCACACAAGATGGGGTGGTAGTTTTAAGTCCTGGGATTGTGAAGAGAGAACTGTTTTCCTTACTGGGATACATGAGTGAATGAAGGATCATAAAGTGAGGGCTTGGATGTATAGAACAGTGGTGGTGAACCTCTGGCACACGTGCCACAGTGGGCATGCAGAGCTCTCTCTGTCAGCACGCGAGCCAAGCCGCCCCAGCATCAGCCCAGCAGCTGAGCATCGGATAACAGCACACATAGGGGCCATGTGCATGCTCGTAAAGGAGCAGAGGCGCCAGGTGATGACATTGCGAGCCGCAACTCATTAGCTGTGACTCGTCTGAGCTTTCACATGGCCGGTCAGTGCGCTGCTGACTGGCTGTGAGTTGTTTTTTCTAAACTAAAACCTCAGTTTTCAGATTTTATTGTAGTGATGGCACTTTGCAATAAATAAGTGGGTTTTGGGTTGCAGTTTGGGCACTCGGTCTCAAAAAGGTACACCATCACTGGGTTGGGGTTACAAAAACGAGGTGTCTTGGTGTGATTTTGATGGTTGGAATGTGTTTAGAAGGGGCAGAAATGATGAGCTGTGCAGAAAAAGCTACTCAAGGACAGCTTTTTCAAAATCGCCCTCTTTTCAGTGGAACTTTACCCCTATATTAGGGTTAGAGGAGTGCACCAGGGTAGGGTTAGGGCAGTGGTGGTGAACCTATGGAACGCGTGCCACAGCAGGCATGCAGAGCCCTCTCTGTTGTCATGTGAGCCAAGCCGCCCCAACATCAGCCCAGCAGCTGGATAACAGTGCACACATTGGATAACAGTGCACACAGGGGCCATGCGCATGCTCGGAAAGGAATAGTGGCGCCAGTCAATGACATCATGAGCCATGACTCATCCGAGTGGTTTTATTGTAGTGTTGGCACTTTGCGATAAATAAGTGGGTTTTGGGTTGCAGTTTGGGCACTCGGTCTCTAAAAGGTTCACCATCACTGGTATAGAATTTCAGGACCCACAGGCTTTGGGGTTGCAGGAACCAAAAAGATGATCTTGTTCTTTTTCTTCTTCATCTTCATCTTCATCCAGTCCTTCCGACAAGTGCTCAGGATTCCTTACAGAATATAAAATTACAATAATACAATAATGAAACCTCAATTATTAAAACAATATAAAACAACACATCATGAACCTAGAGAAAAGGGAAGAAAAGAATCGAAATGTAGCTGTGGAGAGAAAAAAATCTTGAAACATCTAAAACCCTTGATTATTAAAATGAGGGTTGAATAATGGTTGAATAAAAAGGTCTTTACCTGGCGCCAGAAGGAGTGTAACGTCGGCGCCAGGTGGACCTCTCTGGGGAGCACATTCCATATTAGAGACAGGAAAGATTTTCTGTGTGGATTTTACCAGCTAGTGCCACTCAAGTGTCTGTCTCTCTGACACCCCACCTACTCAGTCTTTCCCTGGCAACATGCAGCTTATTTCAGTTGCTGGTGTTGTAAATAATTGCTCCAAAAGCGACTCTTCCCCACCCCATTTAAGGGACTCATCACTGTGGGCATTTCTTACAGTGCATTCCATGGGTTGATCTGCAGGTAAGATGATTCCACATGGGCTGAAGGGGCTCAGACCTACGGTTTGGACTACAACTGCCAGCCTTGTCCAACCACTATGGCTAGTGGCTGGGGCTGATGGGGGTTGTATAGTCCAACACATCTGGAGGCTACTGTGGAGCCTTTTTCTAGCTAAGTGTGATGCCTGACAATGCATCCAACTCCCCTTGCGGTCCAAAATGTTGATTCCCATCAACATGGGCATCTGCCATTCAGGAGCCAGTTTCCTAAGTTGGTGAAACATGGTAGCAGAGCCAACTGGGTGACTTTGGGCCAGTCACAGAATCTCAGCCCAACCTACCTCACAGGGTGGTTGTTGTGGGGATAAGATGGAGGAGGAGATGTAAGCTGCCTTGAGCCCTTTGTAGGAAAAAGGCAGGATATAAATCGCAATCTAAACCTAATCTAACGCAAGATCTCCTGCTTTCGCGGGCGGCACAGCAACTGATGAAGCTTCCCTCTCACTGCATCTGCAGCTTATGGAGCTCTGCATGGTGTTTGCACATGCATCGGTTTGTGACAGGTTCCTTCCTTCCCCATCGTTCTTAGAAATAAAAACCCATTGTCCTTCTGTTACTGGTTCACGGGCCTTGCTCTGCGCTCCGATTAGTTCCTTGAAGGCAGAGGAGGCGGGACTTTGCAAAAATAAATTAAAAAAGGTAAGCGCGACTGCGTGGTCCCTGGGAGACTTCGCCGCTGTGGCCCCGCCCCGCCCGCGTTCTGATTGGCCGGAGAGGATTCGAAGCCGTAACATCCGGGCACTCTGGGGAGGAGAGCTGGGCTGAAATAAAGCAGGCAGGGCATTAGCGGACCAGAGAGGGAACCGCCCAGGTTCGCCAGGGGATCTCGTTGAGGTGAGCAGTCCTTTCCCTATCCAGGAAAGCAGCACGCCTCGGGGTGGGGGGTGGGGGGGGTGAATGCGCAGCGCTCCCCCACCGTCATCTCTCCGCCTCTTTCAATACAGCTCCGTCGATCCCACAGTATAGCCCCTCTCCCGCAGGTGATGGGCATCCCTATTCTTTAATCCTCGTTCTTCTCTCCCCAAAAAGCTTCTCTGTCTTTGCTCACCCACCGGTTCCCTGGACAAGACTCACAATCCATCTCCACCTCCTCGGTTCGCCCATGCTTCTCCTCCCCCACCCTATGGAAGCAGCTCCTCCCTTTCTAGCCCATAATTTTGGCTTGCACAGTGGCCCCTATAGTCTTGCTCAGTTCTGCTCCCCACCCTCCTCCTGCAGAGCAGCCTGTTTCCTATCCTCTAGCTATTATGAACAGGAGGAAGAAAAGAAAGGGGCTGCCCCTTTCCTACCTCCGTCCCATAAAAATCTCCGTCCCACTTTCTGACGGGTGCGCTGCGAACCCCTCTCCCCTGCGCTCGTGCCTCCATTCCCGGGTATTGCCACTTTATGTCGGCCGGGAAGTCTTGTGCTGTCCATCCCATCATGATTTCCTTGCATTCCTTTGCAGAAGGGGCCGGGCTTTCTTCTCCTTTTGCAGCCCTCTTCCCCTTCCCGCAGTTTGTTTTCTTTATCTGAGAAGTTGAAGAAAAGGAGTAGCTGCCATTGTCCATTTTACCTTCGTTGCAACATCCACAGGTTGTGAGGGAGCTGTTCCTTCACAGCGTGGAATAAAAGACTTCCTTTTTCGGCACCCTAAGGCATGATGAGCTCTAGTGAATTCCTGTCTTCGATTTGTGCCTATTAAGGATGTGTATTTTGGTGTGTGTGTCTCATGATGTGAAAGAAGGGATAGTCCCATTTTATACCCTTCCCGTATCCTAACTCCCTTTCAGCTAATCATTTGACCATTTTCCCTGTCATTGGCTTGTCACACTACCAGGCGGCAGTGTGGTGTAGTGGTCAAGTATGCAGGACTGGGACTCAGGTGATCTGGGTTCTAGTTCTCTGCTCAGTCATGTAGCCAACTGGGTGACTTTGGGCCAGTCACAGACTCTCAGCCCAGTTTACCTCACAGGGTTCTTGTTGTGGAGATATGATAACATATAGAGCAGGAGGGGGAAAATGATGTAAGCTGCTTTGAGTTCTTTAAAAAAGGAGAAAAGTGGGATATACAGCTAATAGATGAGTATAATCTGCATTGCTGATAGCTCTCTTGACTGATGTCAGCCTGTGTGTGTCTGTTGTGTGTGTGTGAACATAAAAGAGCCCTTGTTGGATCATGCTAAGGGTCTGTCTAGTCCTGCATTTTGTTCACATGGTGGCTAAGCAGCTGCCCATGAGAAATTCCCAGGCAGGATGTGAGTCCTGCACTCTCCCACCTGCCCATCTTCCCCAGCAACTGGTGTGCACAGGGATACTTTCTCTGATAGCATTGAGCCATCAGGACTAGCAGCATGGATAGCCTTCTCCAGTCCCCCTTTAAAGCCATCCAAATTGGTGGCCATGGTGTTCTTGTTGTTGTTAGTCGTGAAGTTGTGCCCGACCCATCGCGACCCCATGGACAACATTCCTCCAGGCCTTCCTGTCCTCCACCATCCCCCGGAGTCAAATAAGCCTTATTATATATCTATCTCATAATCTTGCTGTCAGTCAGTTATCTATAATTTATCTGCAATATGGCTCTCTCTTCTCTGCCCATTGAGAATTCTGAAATGGAAATACTAATCACAGAATGAACTGCTTACAGTGACAGCAGAAAGCCCGTCTACAAATGAAATTTCTTACATAAGAAATGGAGCAGCAAATTGAGACGCATTGCCAAGCATTCTGTCCTGTAAATGGTGTGGCTGTGGTGTGTCTTTAACGTCCCTCTTTTTCTCACTATGTAACGATGCCACCAAGGATGTAATTCCAATTTCATTAATTAACTTCTTTGCCGGACTTTGTGGTCCCCGGGATGAAACACTGGTATTCAAACAATCTGTGACTCTTGGTTAACCATAAGCAGAATCACACTTTATTTGTACAAGTGTATTGGTTTTGAGATGTTCAGTAATTTATTTTCTTAGAGAATAAAACAGTGTATAGTAATAACTTCTGACTGAGGTATTTCACTCTTTCTTTTCACAATCACTCGGCACTCTCAAGTCCTCCTTTCCCTCTTGAAGGTACATTGATCGGTCCTTATTTTACTTACCCAAGCTTAATCGTTCCAGGTTTCTCTCAGCTTCTATTTCTCACGCCCTCATACTACTTGACAATACTAGACTTTAACTCTCCCTAATAAGTCCTCCGGTTATCCGCTTTCCTTTCCTTTGCCCTTATAAATCCTAAATGCCTTTCACAGCACTGTCTATGATTCTAAAAAGAAGGCTGCCTCTTCTGATTCTGTGAACCGCTGACTGACCTCTCGACAGACTGAAAAGTATCTATTTTTCCCTTCTTGTACCCTTCCTCGCTTTGCTAATACTCTTTTACCCTCCTTGCCCTTCTGAAACTTGCCTGCAATTAGAAGAACACAGTCTTATAACACTTGGAACCATTGCACACATGTATGTGCAAACACACACCAGACATGTGGACAAGGTACATTCAGTTATTACGGGATCCAATTGCTCACTGAAAAAAGACCTGCTACATTCACTGTGTGTCAGAAGGCAAGTGAGGGAGCCCAGGGAGATTCTCGCAGGAGAGCATTCTGAAGTGTGGGGGCCACCACTGTCAAGGACCTGCCGTACGTGATGACCTGCCAAGAGTATGAAACGGGGCCTTTGACTGTAATCTGAGTGGGCAGGCTGGCTTGTGTGGCAGGGAGCAGTCCTTAATGACATGCTTGTCTTTTTTGTCACTGGTGGTACATTGTGGTGGAAAATTACAGACGATGGCAGAGCCACCGATAGAAGATGAAGGAGAAGAAGCGGCTCAGGGACAAGCCAAGCAAGAGTCTTCCCATCAGGCCACAGTGGCAGCCAAGAATCTAGCCATCCTGAAGGCCCGATCCTTTGACGTAACCTTTGAGGTTGGGGATGAATATGAGGTCATTGAGACGATCGGCACCGGGGCTTATGGTGTCGTGAGCTCAGCACGCCGCAAGGACACGGGTGAGTGAAGAAATGACCATAGTGTATCTCCCACATTTTGCTTCCCACCATTTTAGTTGCTAATTTAGAGAGGGGAAAATGCTGTTCTGGGTGGAGAGGCAAATCTATGACACAGAAGAGACAAGAAATATGCACCTCCCTGAACTCTGTTTGTTATATTTCCATCTTGCTTTTTTCCTGTAAAGAATCCAGGGTGGTTTATAGAAGCAACTTCCTCCCCAGAAATTCCTCACAACAACCCTGTGAAGTAGGTTAGGCTGATTGGGTGAGACTGGCACAAAGTCACCCCTTGAGCTTCCCGGGCAAGTGGGAAGTAGAGCCCAGATCTCCGGAGTCCCAGTCCAACCCTCTGACCACACTGTCTCTTGCACTTCCAGCTTATTTCCCGTTTTTCCCCTTGTCAGGCCAGCAGGTGGCGATCAAGAAGATCCCCAATGCCTTCGATGTGGTGATGAATGCCAAGCGCACGCTGCGTGAGCTGAAGATCCTCAAACATTTCAAGCACGACAACATCATTGCCATCAAGGACATCCTCAAGCCCTCCGTGCCTTATGCCGAATTTAAGTCTGTGTAAGTGCTTCTCCTTGCATCCCCCAAGCGAAGGAGGCGCCCTGTTCATCGTGACCAGTGAGACAGGCTGCCCAAACTCCAGAGCAGAAGGAACCCCTATAGATTAGTGCAGGCTCTTTGGAGATTGGGATTTCCTAAAGAAACCATAACTGGTGTTGAAATGCAACCCTTGTAGACATCCTTGTCTCTTGGACGACAAAGGACTAAGAGAAGTCTTTTTTAAAGAAAAGTTTTATTCTTAATAAACCTAAAGAAAAAGAAACTAAAAAAAAAAATCATCAAAAACTTCAGACCTACTGGGTCAGCCTCCTACATTTTTTCTTTTTATGTTAAACTATAAACATATTTAAATCTATGCATAGTCCCGTTTCTCTAGCCAATGATAAAAAGAGTCCCAAGTCTGATAGAAGTCTGTATCCTCTTTCTCCTTCAGAGACAAAGTCAATCTGTCCATTTCTGCACAGTCCAAGATCTTTTTTAGAATCAGTTCGTCGGTAGGTGGCTCTTCACTCTTCCAAGGTTGGGCAAATGCAATCCTCGCTGCAGTAGTTACATGTAGAGTCAAATACATTGCTTGGGACTAAGAGAAGTCTTGAGGAACTGGGAAGTGCAGCTCCCGGGCGTCTTTCTTGTTTGGATTGCTAGTTTTGGGGCCTCTGTTGGGCATGGGGACGGGTCTCTTTCTGTATTCATGTTTGCCATCTTACCCCCCAGATTGTGCTCAAGATCCTTTCAGTGTCTAGAATTTCCCACTGAAGGGAGAAATAAAATAAAAGCAAAATAAAATGCTCACAGTGTAAGGCTAAGACATCCGAGGTTCGGGTTCAAATCCCCACTTCACCATGAAGCACACCGACTTGGTGTATACCTTGAAGGATGGTTGTGAGGACAAAATGAGGAGAGGGAGAACCATGAATTTAGAATGAGCAACTACCTCCTACAGTACTACAGACCACTCACCTGGAGTACCATATTGTTAGCGGTTACCTGTCGTATATTTCCCCTTTCTGGCATACCTTTTCTCCGAAGATCTCCGGAGACATACATGATTTCCCTGCTCATGTGCATTTCGTCCTCCCAACAACCCTATGAGGTAGGCCAATTCAGTGTAAGTGTGTGCCCGCGTGATTGGCCCAAAGCCACCCACTGAGCATCTGGCTCAGCAGACTGAAGTGTCCTTGTTCCCCTGGCCAGGTATGTCGTGCTGGACCTGATGGAGAGCGACCTGCACCAGATCATCCACTCCTCGCAGCCCCTCACCCTGGAGCACGTCCGCTACTTCCTCTACCAGCTCCTCCGGGGCCTCAAGTACATCCACTCGGCCAACGTCATCCACCGGGACCTGAAGCCGAGCAACCTGCTCATCAATGAGAACTGCGAGCTGAAGATCGGCGACTTCGGAATGGCCCGAGGCCTCTGCACCAAGCCGGACGAGTACAAGTACTTCATGACGGAGTACGTGGCCACACGCTGGTACCGGGCCCCCGAGCTGATGCTGTCCTTGCACGAGTACACCCAGGCCATCGACATGTGGTCGGTCGGCTGCATCTTTGCCGAGATGCTCGGCCGGAAGCAGCTTTTCCCGGGAAAGAACTACATCCACCAGCTGCAGCTCATCATCACCGTCCTGGGCACCCCTCCGGCCAAGGTGGTGCACTCCATCGGGGCCGACCGGGTGCGGGCCTACATCCAGAGCCTGCCGTCGCGCCAGCCGGTGCCGTGGGAGAGCCTGTACCAGGATGCCGACCGGAAGGCCCTGGTGCTGCTCTCCAAGATGCTGCGCTTCGACCCCCGCGAGCGCATCTCGGTGGGGGAGGCCCTGAGCTCCCCCTTCCTGGCCAAGTACCACGATCCCGACGATGAGCCAGACTGCATCCCGGCCTTCGATTTCGACTTCGATAAGCAGGTGCTGACCAAGGAGCAGATCAAGGAAGCCATCGTGGCAGAGATCAATGATTTCCACGAGCGTCGGGAAGGCATCCGCCGGCAAATCAGCTTCAAGCCGGCCCTGCGGAGGGCCGAGATTGGGGGCTGCGAGGGGGGTGCCCCCAGCCCGGCACTGCTCCTCAGTTGCCACGACATCGACATGCCCAGCGCTGGATCCCCCCGGGCGGCCAATGGGGACTACGCCATGGCGTCTCCCGCCTCGTACCCACTGATGGAGACCATCGACCTCACGTCTCCCCTCGCAGCCACTGCGGCCGTCGTGCAGCCTGAGGTGAAGGCCGAGGTGGAGGCTCCGGCTGCTCCCCCCAAGCGGGAAGGTGCAATCTCAGATGACACCAAGGCGGCCCTCTTAAAATCCCTCCTGAATAAGAACAAAGGTAGGATGGCGTGAAGAAGCGGCGGGAAGGGGCTGGGTTACCTCCCCTCGCCCTCCTTTCCCTGGCCCATGACGCATCATTTGGAGGCAGAGCGCTCAGGAAAACGCAGGGCCCGTCATGTGCTGGGGAGTGTGGGGAGGCCTGCGTTTGGGCCTCCTTTGGCTGTTGGAGAAACTGTCCTGGGGCACCAGCACAAAATGACTGGCTGGGCACCAAGGTAGTGTCAGGGAGCAGGTTGGCACCTGCAGGCACTGCATCACCCAGTCCTCTCAGCTGAGCGCTGTTTTGAAACAGCGTTGCTTGCGCTTCCTTCGTTCAGGGCTCCCTCTTGAACAGGTTGGCACACACGTGTGTGGGGTGGTGGAAAGGTGTGTTTTAGAAATGGCAGTGCTGCAGAAAATGGTGCTGATCTTAGGGATTGTGGGTGGGTCAGGGCCTCCGCAGGCAGTCCCAAAGAATGGGCAGGCTGAAGGGGCACTGTGAGTCTTTCAGATGCCTGCTTTGCAGGCCTTTTAGACTAGGAGTAGGCCTGGCCTTCGCCCCCTTCCTGAATATCCTTTCAAATTAAAACTAGATGGGGTTGCTTGTGTGCGGTGAAATGTTGCACTGTAGGGCAGGGGCAGGCAGGAGGTAGTTCCCTTGACGTGTGAATGTGGGTGAAGCTGAGTATGTGCTCAGTGCTGATTGCAAAGACACAGGCTGGGTGGTTCACACTTAATGACAAGCCACTGTAGTTTCCTCTGTGGGATGGGCTGTTGTGTTTTCCGAACCCCATTGGCATGTCTCGTTTCCATGGTCTTTTGCATGATTTCCATGCTTCACCGTGTCTTAATTGGTCATCTGAAGTCAGATGTGTGGTTAGCTAGTGGTTATCATAGAGTTTGGTGGAAAGAGCAGCGGTTGCAGCAGCTGCTCTAGCCACCCAGCCTCTGTGTGCAGACCAGTGAGGATGAGGCATCTAGCATATCCAGGAGTGATGCATTCTGGGAATGAGTTCCAGCCGCAGAGCATGGTGGGATATATGCAGTCAATGGGAGAAGTGAGGCAGGAGGGTAGAAAACATACCTTGTCCGGCAGCCTAACCCGAATAAGAAACCACATCACATGGAAACCACACAGCATGGTTTAGCATTACATGTGAATTCAGCCATGGTAAAAGTGTATGGCAACAGTAAGATCAGTGTGGTGTAGTGGTTAGAGTGTTGGACTGGTACTCAGGCAAATCCAGAGTAGTTAATGAGGATAAAATGGTGGATGACCACCTAAGTCTCCTTGGGGGAAAACATTGGGATAACGGAAACTTCTCCTTTGTCTCCTATTTAACAAGATGTTAATAATGCTAATAGAGATAATAATGATGCAAGAGAGCAGGTATTTATTCACACCATGTCCCTGTCTTGTAAAGCAGCACTCTTCTGCCCCACAGATATGTCTTCCTCTGCCCCAGAAGTGCCTGAGACAGCATCTCGGAGACCAGTGACCGCGAAGGAGCGCCAGCGTGAACGAGAAGAGAAGCGCAAGCGCCGCCAGGAGCGGGCTAAGGAGCGGGAGAAGCAGAAGAAGGAGAAAGAGCGGGAGCACAAGGACATGCTGACAGAAAATGACCGGAACCTTCTGGAAAGATGGGCCAAGATGGTGGACCGGACCCAGAACAAGCCGAGCCAGAACGGAACACCAGTCCTGCCACAGGCGGGGGCTACTGGCCACATCCTGCCTAAGGTGCCCCCCGCCAGCCACGTCCCACCGGCCCCCTCCAGCCACCCGCCCGCGCCTGCTGAAGTCCTTGCTTTCTCTGACCGGCAGGTGCCTGCCATCGGACCCAAGCTGACTCTGGTCCCGGTGGGTGCGGAACTAGGCCCAGTCCAGGGCGCCAACGCCAACGTGGTTCACTTTTTCCCAGCGCAGACGGCCCCATTCCTGGTTGCCGCCCCTGCTGCCCCCGCTTGCCCCAAAGCCGTCCCCTCCAAGCCGGAGTGCCTGCTGACCGTCAAGTTCGCCCCGGGCCAGATCTTCCAAGCGCCGTACAGCATGGCGGCCCTGAACGCCTGGAGCGGCGTTCCCCAGCCAGAGAGCTGGGCCGTTGCGGGGCAGCTGCCGGTGACTCAGCCGGAGGTGGCCCCTCCTAGTGGCACGCTGCCGGAGCCCACGGTGCGCTTTGGGGCTGGCGCAGGCATGGAGCAGCCCCTTTTCCTGCCGGAGATGGGCAAGCCCGAGCCGCCCCAGGGCTTGGTTGGAGAAGATGCCCAGGGCGCCTTGCCGCACCAGATGGCTGCGGAGTTGCCCTCAGAACCTCCGGATATCAATGTGGTGACCCAGCAGTTCTCCAAATCTCAGGTAATGCATTGCCCAGGGACGGCTGTTTATGGGCCCAGGGAAGGCACGGTAGGGCGGGCTCCCCGGCAAGGTGCCCTCAAGAACCAGGCTCTGTAGGCTGAAATGATGCCTGGGAAGCAGCACGTCGCTGTGTACCATTCCATCCTGGAGGATCTGCCCTCTTTTTTCTAGGTCACTTCATGGCAGTGTCATTTTATTTATATCCTGCTTTGTTTCCTCATGGAAGGTAGTAAGGAACCTCTTCCAAGGTAATTTACATGGCCTGGCTTTTCTTTTGGTAGCACAGGAAACAAGGGTCGGGGGACCTCTGTACATGCTCAGAATTGCTTGATCCTGGACATCAGAGTCTTTGTCACATTTTTGCATTACTGTCATTACATTGCATTTATATCACAGATTTTTCTTCTTGTGAGGAACCCAAGTTCTGTTTTTATCCTCACAACAACAGCCCTGCAAGGTAGGTGAGGCTGAGAGTGAATGCCTGGCCCTAGGACCAGCAGTGAGCTTCATGGCCGAGTGGGCACTAGAACCCGGATCTCCCGGGTCCTCAGTCCGACACTCTCACCCCGATGTGCCCTGCATTCTAGGTTGCAACCCATATCTCTCATATCGAGGTCTTCAGAGAGTCCATAGCTTCTGCAATGAGGCAGAGGGTCTGTGTGTGCCGTGGAAATCCGGGGGAGGGTCTGGAATCTTGCTGAAGCTGGTGGTGTGTGCAGCTAGTTTGGGGGTTTGCGTTACTGACGTAAGAATGCTTTTAGTCCTGGCTCAGTAGTTGACTGGTCGATTGACTCTAGTCCAGACTGGAAAAATGTCCATCTTGACCAAAGCCCCAATAAACTAAATGGAGCTGAATTCAGCCTGGCACTCTCCCGATGTGTTGGCCATGCTGGCTGGGAATGATGGGTGTTATAGTGCAACACATCTGGAAGTCGTGTTGGAGAAGGCTGGTGTATTGAGTCTCGGCTAACTTGTCCCCTGATTCGAACAGCTCTCCGACAGTGTGCAAACGGGGGGTCTTGGTACGCACTACATGTTCCCTGTTTCTTGATTCCAGGTGGAAGATCTCCTGCCTCCCGTCTTCTCGGGCACTCCCAAAGGCAGCGGTGCCGGCTATGGGGTTGGGTTTGACCTGGAGGAGTTTCTGAACCAGTCTTTTGACATGGTGGGCGAGAGCAGGGAGAGGTAAGAGGCCGGTCTGTCAGGGCTGTCTGTGCAAGTGGATCAGGGCGATTTGTTTGAGACTTGCATGTTCACAGCCTGTTGGGGAACTGGTGGCGGACAACACCACGGGGCCTGTGCAGCCAAGGGGCTGAGGTCGTGGCTCTTCCAGCTGATGTCGGCGTCCCTTCTCTGGTTTCACTGAGGGACAGGGCAGCCCCGGGCCGGACTGCTGGGAGGAGGGCCTTTGTGCTGGAATTGTGACCCAACTGTTTAATTCAGTCCTGGACACTGCGCTCATCCTCTGGGGACTTCCTCTGCATTCTAACCCCTTGAGGCTCAGAGGGTGGCAACTGGGAGGAGGGCCTTTTTTGTGGTAGCCCCCATCTTTAGAACAATCTAACCCTAACCCAGCCCACCTGGCACCAAATCCACTTTCTTTCTAGCACCAGGTTAAGACCGCTCCCTCTGAGGAAATCATTCAGGGATCTGACACAAGCAGCTTTCTTTCACTCTTGGCTGTCTCTTTTTATTGTCTTTTAATTTTTGTATCCTATTGTAGATTAATTTTAATTCTTGTTAATGTTTTTTTTCTATTGCATTTTATTATTCTTACACTTTGTTGTAAACCTCATAGAGAACTTCAGTTACGGGTGGTATAAAAATGAAATTATAGCAGCTAGAAAGAGCCAAAAAGGGTTTGATAAGGTGCACCAAAAAAAATTTTAAATAAAGGAATGGATAAATGCATGAAAAAGGGCTACCCTTCAGTAATTATCCCTCTACCCAAACTGTCTGGAGAAAAGGCAACCCATGCAAAAGTCCATATATTTACAGTTACTTTGTCCTGTCCTGTTCATCTCGCTCCTCTTTTCTTTGTCTCTCCTTTCCTGGAGTAGCCAAGGGGATTCGGCCCCACTCTCGGCCTCCCTTCTCGCTGACTGGCTGGAAGTCCACCGCATGAATCCGGCTGACATGGAGTCCCTCCAGCAGGAACTGCAGCTGGGCTCTCCCATGATCCTTTCCGACATTCCAGACCTGCAGGATGCCTGAGCAGCTGAGATCCTGTGGTCCAACCTCGTCTTCCTCTTTTACACAAACACAACTACTTGCAAAGAGCAAAAAAGCCCCAGAGGCCAAGTCCGTGTGTGGTGATAATGACTGGTTTATTTGCCTTCCCGACTTCTCCGGCTGGGAATGTCACCGCAGTGCCTGTCGCTTTTTCTTTCAAGCAGAAACTGGATCGGGCGGGTGTTTGGACTCGAGCCTTTTGCCAACAAGTTTTGATCTGATGCGGGCGCACCTGTGTCGTCTTGTGCAGGTGTGCTGCGGGAACCGAGAACAAAAGCTCTTTGAGCAGGGACTGTGGTCACAACACTAAGAGGCGCGTGTGTGTGCGTGCGTTGCCGCTGCTGTTGTGCTGGAAACGGGGGTCACACAAGCGCTTCTCTGACCTCCCACTGTGTGTTCCTTTCCTCGTGGCCCGAAGTATGGATACCACTTCAAAGCTCGGGGTGCTGAAAGCTGTTGGAGGGGGTGGACTTTGGTACCAGCAGGTCTCTCAATAAGCCAAGAATCACACCGGTGCCAAAGGTGCCCCTCCGTGGCAGCATCCTCTGCTGTTCAAATGTGATCTTCGGGAAATAACTGGATAGTAGGAGAGGGATAGAAGGAGCCCCTTTTTCTGCATTGAACTGTTGGTCTAGCTCTGGATTGCTCTCTTGGCTGATGGCAGCTGCCCAGACCTCAAGGCTGGCCCTTTGCATCCCAGCGCAGCTCTGAGGCTGGGCGTGGGTGCAGAAGGCCGGGCTCCATCCTCCCAATTACCACTCAGGCTTAACATATAGACGTTCCACTGCCTCCGTGGCTGAAAATGTAAGGTGGCAAGGGCACCCCAAATTTCTTGGGCTGCCTTTGCAAGGGCTCACCTGCAGCAGTCCCGGAGTCCTTGTTTACATTTCTGAGATTGGGGGAATGTTGCTTTTCATCTCACATCCCTACCTAGAGACAGAAGAACAGCCTCGCCTTGGGTTTTTCTTTGTGGGCGGGGGAAGACAAGGATCTCTGTGAATCAGCTTAGTGGGGGAATTTCCCTTCTCCACTCATAATGACCTCGTGTTAAAACTGCTTGGGCCCCAAGGCCTGAAGGGAAGACAACTGGCAGTTGTCAAAATGAAGTTTTGGGGCAGGTGAGTCATTTACTCCTGTTGCATAACCACAAACTTTTCCCTTCTGAAGAAAATTCCTTGCGAGTCTGTCTCCCCGAAGGGTAGGGGTGGGATCTTGTACATGCCTGGGAGCCAGGAGAGCTGGTGCTAGAAGAGCTGAATGGAAGTACTGAGCCCACCTCTGAAGGTCCAGAGTCGGCTTCCATGTGGATTCTGGGATACCTTGTCCTGCACGTGGATGCACAACTTACCGGAAGTGTGGAGTGCTGCTGTCTGTAGCTGTTGGGAGTTTGTGGCATATTTTCTCCCAAAGTGGTGGTGGTGATGTCTTAATGAGGACTTAGTCATTAAACTTTCTATTAAAAATTGGGATTTTATATATTTCAAAAAATCCAGAGTGGCCTGCGTCTGCCTGTATTGCTCATGTGGATTCTGACTGGAGTGGGTGATCCCTTGAGACAGCATCAACATACTTATCTATTAGATTTGTATCCCACTTTTTTCTTATCAATGCAAAGCGGCTGACATTCTCCTACCCCAGCTCTCCATCTTATCCCCACAACAACAGACCGGTGAGGAAGGTTGGACTGAGAGTCTGCAACTGGCCCAGCACTCACTTGGTTCCATAGTCGAGTGGGGACTCGAACCCAAATTGCCTGAGTTCCAGGCACATGCTCTTAACCACTACACCACAGTGCTCTCTACAAAACCGGAATACTTGCAGACTTCCCCAGACTAACATGTTTGGGCTACAGATCTTTCTCTGAACTTACATCAAGTGCTTGATAATTTGAACCTCCCAAAATCTACCTGGTTGCCCTACTGGCCGGTAGTCCAGGGATGGGCAGCCATAACCAGGGGCAGCCACTGGAGCCATTGCCTAGTCTTTCATGCGCCAGGTAGTGTTGGGGGTTTGGCCATGAATCCCAGTGATGCCCAAATGGCTTTGCCTTCTGACTGCTGTGGTGGGAGGAGAATTCTTCCAGTGCAGTTACCTGGACTGGTTTCCCCAGTGCCTTCTGGGAAAAGGATATGTATGGGCAGATGAAGCCTTTGCTCCCCTCTTTTCACTGCTCCTTCAATCCCCTTGTTATCTCCAAGGTGTGATCACAAGAGAGTCCCTTCCCGCAGCCTCATGAAACTCCTGGTACCTTCTCTGCTGGTGGACGGAGCTTCTGGAGAGCCCCACACAGGAGCCCAAAGCTCTGTTGCCAAGCAGGGCCATGGACTGGAGGTTGTTCTCGGTTGCAGTAGTCTCTGAGACCCAAGACGACCGGTCAAGGTGACCTTGAGGCTTTGCCCAACAGCACTGATGTGTGGTTGAATTGCCCCGAGCCTGGCAGGGAACTGACTGACCCATGTTGGACCAAAATTGGCTTTTGCAGGGTGGGAGCTGAGGGCCAAGCACTTCTGCTTTGGACTACAAGCTGTGTGTTGCCAGGGGGAACTGTGTGGGCATACAGAAACTGGCAGATCACCAGGGAGATGTGGGCACACCTCAGATGGGTCCAGTGCATCCCAGTGAGATCAGTGAGACCTCTGTGAGCAAGGCCACCAGCTGATGCTGGGGTTACACGAACAGTTCTTTCAATAGCGGCGCATGTGGCTGCCTTCATGTGCAGATCCCGTGTGACAGGTTGCAGCCAGACTCTTGATGGGCCTTTTTTGCGACCTGGAGAGCCAGTGGCTTGCTCCAGGTCTCCTGTGTTTTCACTGAACTCTATTATTTCCTGCCCCTCCCCTTGGGGGTACTTTTCAATGATTCCCTTCTCAAGAACACACACCCTCATATTCCTGCAGATCTGAACAGGCATCAAAAGGGGAGCCAGGGTTGTGCAAGCCCATGTGCAAACGGAAATGCCTTGCATTTTGAAATGTGACCTAGGTGGGGTGCTTGAGTGTGCATTGACGCGACATCGGCAGTGAGGCATGGCTGGCTCTAGGCAGCTTGCCAAATTGCGAGGAAGGCGTCACTTTAAAAACTCTGGATGAACTGGCAGGACCCTGAAGGGATGGTGGGTTAGCTACAGAGATAAGTGGACGGGAAAAACCTGCCTTGTCTTGTACAGCTGGACTGAACAACGAAGGTTTACTGTGCATGCCAAGCCCCTCTTCCCAGCACCGGGTCATCAGGCACATGAGTGAGAAGAAAGAAGGAAAACCAAGTTGTATTACTACCATTAGATTGCATTTATATACAACCTTTCCTCTTCTTGCAAGGAATCTAAGGCAGCTTGGATGGAATCCCCTCTTCCATTTTATTTTCACAACAATAGCCCTGTGAGGTAGGTTAGGCTAGGAGGCTGTGACTGGCCCAACCCCACCCAGCGGGCTTCATTGCTGAGAGGGGACTTGAACCCGGATCTCCTGAGTCCCAGTCTTGCACTCTTAACCACTCTTCTTAGTATAAACCACCCTTCTTCCATCCTGGCACTCCCTAGATATGCTGGACCACAATTCCTGTAGCATGAGCTGGGGATCATAGGAGAGGTAGTCCAGCACACTTGGGGTGTCCAAGGTTGGAGAAATCACCTTGGAATAATTATCTTCCACCCTCCTTCTTTTCTTGGATCTGAGGTGGGTTTTCCTGAACTATCGGAAATCTTGGTCATTGTGAGAGCTTCCAAAATGTTCTCTTTTTCTTGAGCAAGAGAGGCAGGTTTTGTTTTTTTAGAAAATAAGCGTGAGATCTGAAAAACACCGGTTTGCAGACAATTGGGTCCAACCCCCTGCACAATGCAGGACTCAGATCACCCGTCCTGATCCCAACCAGGCCTGACTCTGCCTAGCTTTCAAGGTGTCAGGTGCTTCAGGCTATAGGGAAGCATTAACTGAGAACCTCTATTTTACTGATAATTCTGGCACTGTGGGAACTTCAGATTCCTAGCAGTGAAAACAGACTGGATGGTTTTGCTGGAAATCCCGCCTTGGCTCAAAGCTGTAGCTAGAACTTGGATCTCACGGGTGAAGAAGGATGCTTTTGTAACCGGTAAAAGGATGCTTTTGTGCCTCACCTTTCCTTCCTGCCCTTGTTCTCCCAATCCTTAAAAAAAAAAAAAAAGATAAATGGTGGATTCATCCGAAGTGCAATGGGCAAATGGGCCTTTGAGGGCATTTCCTCCCGTTTTGACAGACTTGCTTGATCCTGACGGAGGGACCAGCAGCTCCCTTTCAAATCTGTTGCACTGATAGCCTTCCCGAGTGCCCCACCTAAGACCTGGCTGCATTGCAGCCTACGATTTCTGTTTACGGAGCTGCTCCCTCTGGTTGCTCAACTGGCCAGGGTGTGTGTCTGCGTTGCATAATGAAACCAGGGATGTGGAACAGTGCCGGTTGTTTTCCCCTCTCAGAAGTGAAAGGTGGAACCCGAGTCATATGGGAACCGCGCCCTCAAGTATCGGACTTCTCCTCGCATTTCTGCAAGCCGTGGGGGCATGTCAAGGGGGGGGGGGTGTTGCTGACCCAGGGGCACCAAACAGAGACACGGTGGAGCTGTTTGCACCATTTCCTGAGCGGCTGAGTCAGCTCCTGAATCAGCAGCGCGTATGCCCAGAGGGACCAGGTGGATCGAGCCTTTCCTTTCCAAAGCGGCTGGGGCGCACACAGAGGGAACAATACATCGGTTCATGGGAAAGGGGCACTGAGAATGTGGCTTTAGCTTATTAACGGAGATTTCCCTCTCTAGGCAAGGCAGGATTAGTCATGAAGTAAACCCAGGATTTTTTCTTTCTTTGACCAGTATTGGGCCGAGAATCTGCTGATGCAGAACCGGCTTTCCTAAATGCTCAAGAAGTTGTTCCAAGTTGCATTTGCTTCTGAAAAGATCCCTTGACAAACAAGTTGTATAATGTTGCCAAAGATGGAAGCTCGTCTCTGTAGCTGATACTCTTTGGGAATGTTGTGTGTTGAGATGGGGTTGTGGGGAGGAAAGAAATATCAGAGGTAAAATCCTGAACAGGAGTAGTGGTCAAAGAGGGAACTTGGACATTGACTTTGGGCCAGGTACTGACTCTGCCTAATCCACCTCACAGGGTTGTTGTGAGGATAAAATAGGAAGAGGATCATTTAAACCTCTGCGGGTTACTTGCAGGAGGAAAGGTGGAATATAAATCCAATAAATAACGTTGTTTGAAAGCCAGGATGGTGATCTGTGCAAATCCACATGTGGCTGAGCAACAACTCTCATCATCCTGATCCTGATCATCCAGACTGATGGAAGTCTGGGGGAACAATATTTGGCAGGGACCACAGGTTCCTCAGCTGTTTCCAAATTGTCGACAAAAGTTACATTTCCTTCAAATTTAATTTAGCACTCTTTGGACTCTGAAGAAATGTACTCTGATGAAAGCTTTGCTGTATTCCCTATGGAGTTCAGGATCAATGCCAGGGTGTTTAATTTCCTTTTAGAGGACTGACTGCTTAGAGGACTGGTGTCTTCATCAATTAATAATAATAGGAATAATTCATAACATCTATGTTATTCACAACATTCACACAGGTTCTAGTGGAAGCAATATTGTTCTTACAGCAAGAGGATGAGCATCTGTGTGCTCCAAGTTAAGTGAAATCTGCAGCTTTCTCTCTCTGAGTTCCAGTTCCAATTAAATTGCTTCCCTGCCTGGAGAAATATCAACAACCTCAGATATGCAGATGATACCACTCTAATGGCAGAAAGTGCCTGTTTAACTTATATGCAGAGTATATCAAGCAAAAGTCCAGGCTAGATGAAGCACAAGCCAGAATTAAGATTGCCAGGAGAAATAACAACCTTTGATATGCAGACGATACCACTCTCATGGCAGAAAGTGAAAAGGAACTAAAGAGCCTCTTGATGCGGGTGAAGGAGGAGAGTGTAAAAGTTGGCTTGAAACTCAACATTAAGAAAACTAAGATCATGGCATCCGGTCCTCTCACTTCCTGGCAAATAGATGGGGAAGAAATGGAGGTAGTGACAGATTTTATTTTCCTGGGCTCCAAGGTCACTGCAGACGGGGACTGCAGCCAAGAAATTAAAAAACGCTTGCTCCTTGGGGGGAAAGCTATGGCAAATCTAGACAGCATACTAAAAAGCAGAGACATCACCCTGCTGACAAAAGTGAGTATAGTCAAGGCTATGGTTTTCCCAGTTGCAATGTGTGGCTGTGAAGGTTGGACCATAAGGAAGGCTGAACGCCGAAGAATTGAATCCTTTGAATTGTGGTGCTGGAGGAGACTCCTGCAAGTCCCTTGAACTGCAAGGAGATCAAACCAGTCAGTCCTAGAGGAGATCAACCCTGACTGCTCTTTAGAAGACCAGATCCTGAAGATGAAACTCAAATACTTTGGCCACCTAATGAGAAGGAAGGACTCCCTGAAGAAGAGCCTG